TTTGAGTCAGAGTCTCACTCTGTCACCCAGACTGGAGTGCAATGGCATGCTCACGGCCACCACAGCCTGGACCTACTGAGCTCAGGTGATCCTTCTGCCTCAGTCTTCCAAGTAGCTAGAACCACAGGCTTGTGCTACCATGCCCAGTTATTTTATTTTATTTTTTTGGATTTAGTGTAGAGACGAGGTCTCGCCATGTTGCTCAGGCCGGTCTCAAACCCCTGAGCTCAGGAAATCCTCTTGCCTCCGCAACCCAAAGTGCTGGGATTACAGGCTTGAGCAACCATGTCCGAATCTTTTCCTTTTTTAAAACACCTCTCCACCTTACCTCCCTCTAAGGCACTAAACTGACTCCTTTTCTTCCCTTCACAGTCACCGTTCATTATGTGTGCTCTCACCTTACATTATTTCTTAGCCTCCTACCAGTTGGATTAATCCTCTATGACTGGAAGATAATAAATGATCCCTTTGATGCTAAATCTGAAGAACTCTCCAGGCCTTACTTTAATCATTCTGCAGCTACTGTTAACTGCTCCCTCAGAGGTCACCAATCTCCTCTTGTTTTCCTCCTACTTCTCTCACAACTTTCAGTCTCCATTCTCTTTCATATTTCTCTCTCCATCTGGCCCCAGGCTCTGCGCCTCCTTTTGATGCTTACTCTTAACCCATAGAAGTTCATCACTCCTAGAGCTTCTCAGGGGCTCTCTGCATTGACTGCTCTGAGCCACAGATATCTCCAACTGGCCACAACCCCAAACTTACTCCAGTTCTTCCTCCCAGGACCTGTCCCTCCACTTCTTTCCCAGCTTTGGCAAAAGGCACTATCTACCAGGCCCACACCAGATACCTGGAAGTAAGGATGCTTTCGTCTCTCTCAAAACATACCCTGACTATCCAAATTCCTGGTAGCTATCAAACCCATTGGTTCAAACCCTCGCCCAAACTTCCGCAACAGTCTCCAAACTACCATCCTGCCCCTTTCCAAGCACTTGCCACAATGTCACGCCAAAGACACAAATAGGATTCCTAAGACAGAAGCAGGATTCCATCACCTCCCATGGAGGACCCTTCAAAAAGCCCCAACACCTCAGCATGACACAAGAGACATCTCAAGGTATGAACAGTCTGACAGTTGCTTATTTCTCTAGTGCTACACGGGCTTCCTCTCCTTGGAAAATCTTGCCTAACTGCACCTAGCTGACTCCCAAAGTTCCCAAGGACCCAGCTTGGAAGGTCACTCCTCGAGAAGAGCTTCCCCAACTATCACATGTACCCGCCATGGTTTAAGGGGTACTCAGAAGTGTTTGCATGTATTCCTTTCAGCAAGAAACATCCTGAAATGCAATTATATTGTCTGCTCATCTCTCTGCCTCCTCCACCTTGAGGCTAGGGGCTGTAATTTATTCCAATGTATAACCTCGGGGGCTGTATGCAAATGTCTGTCAAAAATGAACATCTGATTTAGAACAGTCAAAACTATAGAGACACATAGTAGAGGGGTGATTGCCAGGTATCACAGGGAGAGAGAAATGAAGAGTTATTGTTTAATAGGTATAGAGTTTGAAGATGAAGAGAGTTATAGAGATGGATTGTGGTGACAGAAGCATAACACTATAAATGTATTTATACTAAGCTATGTATTTTTAAATGGTAAATTTAATGTTGAGTGTATTTTACCACTACAATAAAAAGTAATAATAATTTGTCTAACATGAACGTATGACCATATTCATATGAGAACACCGCTTACCTATTTGTTTTGCATGAACAAATACTGCCCTCTTCTGGTCAAGTATATTACCACACCAATAATACGTGTGAAATGAGTTTTCTAGGGAATGAAATAAAGCTAATCCTTAAACTCATTTAACACAAAGCTGGTGGTTACAACTACATAACACTACTAGGTAAGGCATTTGTAATAAAAGTGGGACCAGATACTTCAATTCAGCCTTGAAAATCAGTATTCAAGGAATTAATGGGAATGACTTCAGAAAGAATTTAATGTAGAAATAATGCCTGCTTTTTAATAGACCTGTAACATTAGTCAATGAAAATAAAAAAGACCATTTGGATCTCTTTTAAGTGGCCTGAGCATTTTGGTGGTTTTTTGTTTGTCTATTTTTTTTGAGTAGGAGTCTCACTCTGTTTCCCAGGCTAGAGTGCAGTGGCATGCTTACAGCCACCACAGCCTCGAACTGCTGGGCTCAGGTGATCCTTCCACCTCAGCCTTCCAAGTAGCTGCAACCACAGGCATGTGCCACGATGCCTGACTAATTTTTTAACTTACTGTAGATACAAGGTCTTGCCATGTTGCCCAGGTTGGTCTCAAACCCCTAGACTCAGGCAATCCTCTTGTCTCTGCTTCCCAAAGTGCTGGAATTACAGGTGTGAGCCACTGCACCTGGCAATATTTTCCTTTTTTTTTTCAAAGTATTGCCTACAGACAAAAAGATTCCTGAAGCTAAAATGGCTTTGGGAAACTTACCAATGTCATAAGCCATGAAATCTGAAGAGAAGCATTTGGCGCCATGGCTCATGGACGTGTCATTGTGCGTGTTTCCTCCAAACACCAGCATGTTTCCACTCACCATCACAGCTGTGTGCAAGTAACGGAAAAATCGGCTGTCCTTAAGAATGGTCCTTTTGAGTTTATTTAGAAATAATAAATACAAGGTTAGTTTTTAAAGAATACTTGTCTATCTGCTAATGCAAACATTTCATTTTATTAACTTCAGACCCAAATGTACAAATACTTCCAGATTCTGTCCTACATATAAGTAATTTTCTCAAAATGAATATGCGAAATTTTAAAGACCTATTAAAATTTTTGGCAAAATATAATAAGAGCTTTAAAATGTTCATACCCTATGGTCCTATAATTCCTGTTTCTGGGCAGAACTCATGTACAATACAGACAGAAGCTTATGTACAATGCTTTGGGGTTTTTGTTTGTTTTTTATAAACATTTTTTATTATGATATTGTGGGGTACAGTTAAGGGTTAGCTATACAAATATGCTTCATTCAGGCACCCTTGCTGATAAGAGGTGTCTCCCCGTCCCCAGACAGATGTTTACTACCATTAATCCCATCTCCCTTCCCCTCCCCCCCATAGTTTCCCACCACTGTCGGTCATTTTCTTATGGTAATATGTTGGATGATCAAGTTCCATTATATGAGTGAGAACATGTGATATTCGGATCTTTGTTTCTGTGAGAGGTCACTCAGTATTATAGACTCTAGTTCCATTCATTTGTTTGTTTTTTTGAGTTAGAGTCTCACTCTGTTGCTGAGGCTGGAGTGCAGTGGTTCGCTTCTTATGGCCATCGCAGCCTCTACCTACTAGGCTCAGGTAATCCTTCTGCCTCAGCCTTCCAAGTGCTACCACAGCTAGCTAATTTTTCTTGATTTATTGTAGAAATGAGGTCTCACCAAGTTGCCCAGGCTAGTCTCAAACCCCTGGGCTCAGGCAATCCTCTCACCTTGGCCTCCCAAAGTGCTGGGATTATAGACATGAGCCACTGTGCCTGGCCCAATGCTTTTTTTTTTTTTTTTGAGTTGGAGTCTCACTCTGTCGCCCAGACTGGAGTGCAGTGGCTGCTCCCAGCCACCGCAGCCTCGACCTGCTGGGCTCTGGTGATCCTTCTGGCTCAGCCTTCCAAGTAGCCGGAATTACAGGCATGCGCTACCACGCCCGGCTGATTTTTTGATTTACTGTAGAGATGAGGTCTCGCTGCCCAGGCGGGTCTCGAACCCGCGGGCTCAGGCAATCCACTCACCTCAGCCTCCCAAAGGCGCGGGATTACAGGCTGAGCCACTGAGACCGGCTCCAATGCTTTTTTAATAAGACAAAAACTAGAAAACAAAACTTTAAACCACATAGGCTTAGTATACCCATATAATGGAGTATCATATAGCCACAAAATGACCAATTTTTATGACAATGCAAAATAGCATCTATAGCATGGCATCAAACATTATAAGGAAATACAAAAAGGAAGCAAAACCATAGCTTTATTATTATATCATTTCAGAACTCAAATTTGCTTTACATTTGTTAAAATTAGCATACTCTTTACAGGCTAATATATAGTTCAGAGTGAGAAGAGCTCTATCAGTTTAGTATGAGAACTTCATGGCTGACAATTTCATGGAATTATACCAGTAACTGACTCTAAAGATGACACTTTGGTCATCAAGAAAAGGTTAAAAAATTGATATAGTTTACTTAACTACAAAAGTATGAACAAATTCAGCAATGTAATTTATTCCTGATTTTGAAGAACTAAAATTTTACAGTAGTGCTCAGTGTATAAAAATTGAAAAAGAAGCCGGGTGTGGTGGCTCATGCCTGTCATCCCAGTACTTTGGGAGGTGGAGGTAAGAGGATGGTCTGAGTCTAGGAATTTGAGACCAGCCTGAGCAACATGGCGAGATCTCATCTCTACAATAAATCAAAAAATCAGCAGGGCATGGTGGCATATGCCAGTGGTTCCAGCTATTTGGAAGGTTGAGACAGAAGAATCACCTGAACTTAGCAGATCGAGGCTGAGGTAGCCATGAGCGTGCCACTGCACTCCAGCCTGGGTGACAAAATGAGACTCCAACTCAAAAAAAATGAAAACAGTCCAAAAATGCCAAGCAGTTTCTAACCAACCTACTACAAAATAAATACCAACTACTTCATTATCTTCTGCGTGTTTTCCTAGTTCTCAAGATTACAATGCTGCACAGAATTATCTGCCTGGCCTGAAAAAAAAATACAGCACAATATTTTCCCAACAATTGCCTCTACAAAATTCACACTCAAAGTGAAAGCTCAAGAAAAAGTACCCACCACATGTGGGTGTCCACATCATATCTGTAGAGATCATCAGCAAGTCTGTACTTATTGGCACTGAAAGCTTTGTAGCCACCATGAACGTACAGGGCCCTGGTCCTGTGGTCAAAAACACTGCTGTGGCCATAGCCCCCTTGCACAAGGGCACCTTGGGTGTGTAATATACTCCATGTGTTCTTATCTGGAAAAGGAAAAACAGTTAAAGGCAAACTCAGAGCACTCCTCCTCTCCAACACCTGAAATGTCCAAATAGCTGAGGGTATGGGAAGGGATTTCAAGACCTGATACATACAACTTTTAAAAATATTTTTATTTTTAAGAGAAGGCCACCTAAAACTTTGGCTATGCGGCCAAATTCCAACCTGTTAAATGTTCTGATGTTCTAATATACTCTGTAGGAAACGAATTACACTACATTTAAAGGACCTATTCCCCTCAAATGAACATTTTAACTCTCTATGACCGTTAGTGACCAAAACACAGATGTACTCTGTAGGGCTGCTTCCACAAAATATCAATTACAGCTGGTATTCCTACTGCACAATAACAGAGATAATAAAATTCAGTCAAAGGAAAGATCATATATTAAGAGGAAATCGCATTCCATTAAACCAATTTCTAAAGAGCTATCCAAAAATTTTTTCCAAACCATTTTTATTTATTTTATTTTTAACACACAAAGCATTTTGTGCCATCTTTGGTTCCTTGCCAGATTGACAGTAACAAATATATGCTACATAGAACCATCAACAATCTGAACTTCACTGGTAATACATCGATGTGAACTGCATTTCAAGATAAAGTACTAGATCAAGGTTAGGGTGAATTCTGAAGTTATAATATTAATTAAGCATGAGGCTTTACATTTGACATTCAAAAAACATCCACTGGAAAAAAGTATACCTACCCAAGTCATATTCCTGCACATTGCTTATATATCCGTAGAGAGGGCAGTGACCAAAGATGACCAGCATGACCACTCGGCCGTTTTTCAGTGTAACAATGTGAGCCGAGTGCCCAACCACTGCGTACTGCTCCTTTGCCTTCGGGGTCAACAATACCCATGACTCATTATAAATATGAAACACTCTCAATTCATTGGTCACATTCCCTGTTGAATCAATTTTTCCTCCATACATGTAAATCTTATCCTAGAGAAAAAATACAAGCAAAAAAAATTTTTTTTTAATATGGGGTACAATTCAGGGTTAGGTATACAAATGTTCATTATGCAGGTACCCTTGTTGATGAGGTGGCAAAATTTTTAAAACATTGAAAAGATCAAATCTGAAGTCAGAAAAGGATCAGTTCAAAAATCAATATTGGCCGGGCTCAGTGCTCAGCCTGTAATCCCAGCACTTTGGGAGGCCTAGGCGGGTGGACTGCCTGAGCCTGTGGGTTTGAGACCTGCCTGGGCAACTTGGTGAGAACTCGTTTCTGCAATAAATCAAAAATTAGTCGGGCATGGTAGCGCGTGCCTGTAGTTCCAGCTACTTGGAAGGCTGAGGCGGAAGGATCGCCGGAGCCCAGCAGGGCGAGGCCGTGGCGGACAGGAGCATGCCACTGCACTCCAGTCTGGGCAACAGAGTGAGACTCCAACTCAAAAAAAAAAAACAGTATTATTATCAGCTTAAAAAGGGTTAGTCAGAAAAACTAAAAATAGAAGTACCATATAATCTGGTCATTCCACTACTGGGTATATACTGAAAAGAATGGAAATCAATATATTAAAGAGATATCTGCATGCCTGTGTTTACCATAGCATTATTCATAACAGCCAAAATATGAAATCAATCTAGTGTCCATCAACAGATAAGTGGATAAAGAAAATGTGGCATATATACACAGTGAAATATTATTCAGCCATTAAAAGAATAAAATCCAGTCACTTGCAACAACATGGATGGAACTTAAGGCCATTATGTTAAGTAAGTCAAGCACAGAAAGACAAATATCTCATGTTCTCAGTCACATGTGGGAGGTAAAAAAGTGGATCTCATGAAGGTAGAGAGTAGATTGGTGGTAACCAGAGGCTTGGATGAGGAGAGGGAAGGGGGGAAAATGTGTTTATTACTTCTGAACTGTACACTTAAAAATGACAAAGATAGTAAATTACATATGTATATACTACCGCAATAAATAATAAAAAGTTTGAAAGGATTAGTGAAATGCACCTTTCAGTGAGTTGTTAGGAAAAGGATGGAACAAGGAACAATTGGAAATAAAACTAATCATATTTTATATCTCTAACACCATTTCACTACTTTTCTTGGGCTTTCTCACATGAATCTTGTATAAAGTTGCCTCATCCTACCATCTAGCTACAAAAACAAGGAAATGAAAATAAGTATTCAGCCACAGTACAATAAGGCTATTTTTGGAAAAACTTGCTAGTAAGCATAAAAGCTAATCTACACTTTTAAATCTACATTTTTAACCATTTAGTGTCATAATCATAATACCTCAGTACCATTTGAAGCCATTAAAATCTCTTGGGTTAAAAAGTTCCAACTTTAATTTCCACTATAACTTAGTCAATTATGTAAACCCTCCCCAAGAAAAAGTTTTCCCCAATTAAGAATCAACATTGCATAGTTTTTCAACTACATAATACATAAAGTAACTAAGGAAGAGTTGAGTTTCTTGCTTAGTACAAAGTGGAGATATTTTACCTTGTATAATGCCAATGAGTGACCATATCTAACAACTACGTTGTTCACAGAATGGTTTAGTGAAAGCCACTCCCTAGAAGCAAGGTCATACCTACAAAACAAACAGATTGTATTTTCACCCATATGATAAAACAATATCTTGTACTCTTTTATTTGTGATATAATCCAGTTTAGAGATGTTCATTAAGTCTACCATGGATGTAGGGAGGCACCTGTCACCTTGGCAAACAAACCTGATACCTGAGCCCACTGAGCATGTGAGAACTCGAGAAGAGGAGCCATACTACACAATCCTGGGAAAAGAAATAAATACAAATCTACTAGATGTTGCTAACACCTCCTGAAAACCCTTTCAATATACAGTCTAAATCACTTGAAGGTTGCATTATACTCAAGAGACTTAAAATTTTATCACAACATCTCCTCTTTCATTTAATCACGAGAAACTGAAAATAGGTACTGAAAGGGTATGTCAATTAAGTAAAAGAAAATTACTAACCCTTCCTTTTCTTTATCTAATTGATTTAAAATGTCTTATTTTTAAGAAAGACAGAATACCATTGCAGCATATCAACTGTACTAGGAATATATTTAAAGACCTTTAAAATATAAAAATGATAAAAAGAAATTTATACTCCTATTGTGCAATTTATACTTATTCATGCATTACTGAATAATCACATTCAACATCTTAAAATATTCATTTTTAGTTTGTTTTTGAGAAAAAATTTCTGTTATAATAAAAATCTTGCATACTCATTACAAAGAATGTAACTGATACAAAAAAGATGTAATACAATAAAAAGGATAAAGAGCTAGCTAAAAAAATTTTAAATCCCATATTCTATCATCTAGAAATGAATATCAGTAAGTAAATATCATTCCAGACATCTTTCTATACACATACACATATGGAATAGATTGCCAAAATATATTTACACAAATGGCATCATACTACAGGCTATATTTTTAGTAAGGTATTATTTTTAATTTTCATAAAATTAATAGAAAAAAGAAACCAAAGGAAAACCAATACTACTGCTGTTATCTTTTTTTTTTTCCTTTGAGTGGAAGTCTCACTGTCACCCAGGTTGGAGTGCAGTAGCATGCTCACAGTCACCACAGCCTTGACCTGCTGGGCTCAGGTGATCCTTCTGTCTCAGCCTTCCAAGTACCTGGAACCACAGGCATGCACTACCATGCCTGGCTAATTTTTTGATTTGTTGTAGATTTATTGAGGTCTCATCATGTTGCCCAGGTTGGTCTCAAATCCCTAAGCTCAGGCAATCCTGGGAGCCCAGCTCAGATAAATTCTTATAGAAAAGAAAAAAACATTTAGTGAAGATATAGCAGTAATAGTCAGACACAGTGGCTCACACCTGTAACCCCAACACTTTGAGAGACAGACACAAGAGGACTGCGTTAGCTCAGGGGTTCAAGATCAACCTGGGCAACATGGTGAGACCTCATCACTACAATAAATAAAATTTTTTAAAAATCAGCTGGGCATGGTGGTACATGCCTATGTTTCCAACTACTTGGAAGGCTGAGGCGGAGGGATCACCTGAGTCAAGCAGATCATGGTTATGGTGGCCGTGAGTGTGCCACTGCATTTCAGCCTGGACGACAGAGTGAGACTCTGACTCAAAAAAAAAAAGAGTTTACCTGAATAATTCAAGTATTTTATAAATTACAAAAAAATTACTATACATAAGCAAAAAGATGTTAGAAAATCTTGCCACAAAAGCAAAAAGGGAAGCAAATGTCCATCAATTGAAAATGGATTAACAGACAGGCACAGTGGTTCATGCCTGTAATCCCAGCACCTTGTGAAGCAAGAGGATTGCCTAAGCCCAGAAGTTTGAGACCAGCCTGGGAAACATAGCGAGACCTCATCTCTACAATAAATCAAAATGGCATGTGCCTGTAGTTCCAGCTTCTCAGAAGGCTAAGGCAGAAGGACCACCTCAGCCCAGTAGGTCAAGGCTGTGGTAGTTGTGATCGTGCCACTGCACTCCAGTCTGGGCAACATAGTGAGACTCTGACTCAAAAGAAAAAAAAAGGAAGAAAGAAAGTGGATTAAGAAATCACAATATATCCATATAATAATTACACAAAATAAAAAAATTATATTTCAGAAACATGTCAACATAAATCTCAATACAATGTTAAGCTAAAAAAGCAAACAGCAGAAGATTATTTCTATAAAGACTAAAAACAGAAAACTTATTAATTCTAACAGTTTCATATATACTTAAAGTATAAAATACAAAAATATACTTTAACAACAGACTCAAAAATCAGAATATAGATTGTTTGGGATTTGGAGGAGCATGCAAGGGTCTACAACTATAATAGCAATGTTTTGTTTCCTAACATGGATGTTGAATGCACTAGTATTATTTTTCTCTAAATCTTTCCTTTTGTCTTAAATATTTTATACATGATCTGACGTAAATATAACAAATAGGTGACATCTATTAATTATGAATAGCACATAAATTGGTATCAGCCATTATTTTACATAGTTTTGGAATATTCCACACTTCTAAAAATACATGAAAAATTTAGAAGTTGAATTCATTTTAGTTGTAAAATTATTCACAATTTAATTTTGGACAGAATCCACTAATTCATGCTTTAAAAGTTGAAAAACCTTAGCACTTAATTTCCTCCCATTTCATCTCCTAATTTTTATATACAATTTTTACATTGTCCAGGTTCTTAACAACACATTACATTCTATAACAATAATTCCATAGTACTTTAGTACTGAATCTGTAATTTAGCTGAGTCAATCTCCCTTCAGTCCTTTTATCACAAGTTCTCTTTCTTGAGCTCTTTATTTTAATTTTTTTTATTTTTTTGAGTTGAAGTCTCACTCCTTCGTCCAGGCTGGATTGCAGAGGCACGCACGCTCACGGCCACTCCAGTGTCGACCTTCTGGGCTCCAGTGATCCCTCCCCCTCAGCCTTCTGCGTAGCTGGAACTATAGACACGCGCTAACACACAGCTATTTTTATTTTATCATAAAGACAAGGTCTTGCCAAGTCGCTTGGGCTGGTCTCGAACCTGCAGGCTCAGGCAATCTACTCGCCTCAGCCTCCCAAAGAGCTGGGATTACAGGCTGAGCCACCGAGCCCGGCTATTTTTATTTTATCGTAGAGACGAGGTCTTGCCAAGTTGCCTGGGCTGGTCTTGAACCCGCGGGCTCAGGCAGCCCACTTGCCTTGGCCTCCCAAAGCGCTGGGATTATAGGCTGAGCCACTGAGCCCAGCCCTTGAGCTCTTTAATTCTCAACTGGATTTCACTGTCAAGAGGGGTGGGGTTTTTTTAAGTAGAATTCATATGTACTTCTTTCCCTGAGTTCATTCATGGTTAAGAATATCTTCTTGCTAACTTTACAGCTGAATGACATCTTGGCTGGGTATACTATTCTTGGGCTATTCTTTTCCTTCAGACGCTTGCAGATGCTGTTCCCTTAAATGGTGCTGGCACTGAATGTTGCTATGGAGAAGTCTGAGGACAGCTTGATTTTTTCCCCACTTTTATGCAGTTTGCTTTTCTGCCTGGAAGCCTGAAGAATTCTGAATCATTCCCATTCTCTCTCCCTCCCCTACTCCATCTCTCACTTTTTTTTTTTTGAGTAGAAGTCTCACTCTGTCACCTGAAATGCAATGGCACGCTAATGGCTGCCGTGGTCTCAAACTACTGGATTCAGATAATCCTTCCGCCTTAGCCTTCCACGTGGCTGAAACCAGAGCTGTGCATCACCATGCCTGGCTAATTTTTTTGATTTACTGCAGAGACAAGGTCTCGCCAAATTGCCCAGGCTAGTCTTGAACCTCTGGACTCAGGCAATCCTCTCGTCTCTGGTTCCCAAAGTGCTTGGATTACAGGCATGAGCCACTACACCTGGCTTCTCACTATTTTTTAAAAATGCAATATTGTACTTTATTTCACATAGAAATGATTTACATCCATCCAGGAAAATGTTTTCACAAAATGTACTGCACACCACTGCAACACTTCTGTGGAATTCTGGCTGTGAAAGATATTTCCTGAGAAGGACTTCCATAGCTTCTAACCACACATATACATCTTATATTAAAGCCAGAAGCTTTTTTGAAAGATAAGAAACAAATAGATTAAGCACAGAAACAAATACTGACTTCTCTGTCAAGAGACATGGAGGGTGCTCAATCTGTATTTTACTGTCTTTTGTTCCTCTTCAGTTAACATATCAGTCCAAGAGCTTGTTAGAGACACTTAGGTGCTCGCAGGTTCCCATAACCTGGCTAGCATTTGAACTACCAAAAGATACTTACGCAACATGCTATCAATTTTTCCACAACATATAGAAACAAACACAAGAACAATATTGATGCAGTAAAACGTAAGAAATTCCAACTACCTGATAAATAATCCTTCTTCTGGCAGCTGAGTCCAAGATAAGAGAATAGTGAACAACTAGATCTAAGATCTAAATAGGCAGATTAAGCAAAGACAAACTTCAGGAGATAAGAAATAGATGTTTTCCACAGGGCCACGGCCATGGCCATCCAGACCCCACCATGACAGCTAGCAACTCAAAGATCATCATGACAAAGAGTAGTCGCTCCAAACTCCATGGTGGCCTGGAAACCCAAGCACAGCATCTGGCCACCCAAAGACCAAGGCAAAGGCTCTGTGGAGACTGGACATGATTCCAGCCATCAGGAAGTATATAACTACCTGAGGCTTCCTGAACAATAATTTGTCCTTTATCCTAAATGTTCAATAATTTAATCAAATCAGGCTTTGTCATTGAGAAACTATAAAATTTTCCTGAAGCATCTTGTGCTATTTCAATTCACCTGCTATGTGTGGTAAGTTTTCTTCAGTAATTTTATTTATATCCAATCACCTTCTGTCCTTCATGTGTTTTGGCTTTTCTCCGATTTTTCACCTGTATTATTGGAATTATCCCAATAAACCTGTCAGCAATTCCATTTTAATTCTAATTTTTGTGGTATCTAACTTATCTATATTTTTTTAGGCCTGTAATCTCCCATTTCATCTCACTGTCATTATTGTCTTTCAGTTTGTTTT